ATGCATGCCTTAAGACGTACAATAGTATTTCTTTTCGCTTGTTGGGTACAAAAACAGGAAATCGGAAGCCAAGCCCGATATTACTGACATAAGATTTTCCAAAAGCAAATTCCACTTATCTCTGACTGATTGTGTCACCTCAGACTCGTCCATTCCAGTACATTTTAACCAATAAGAGATCATTTCTTTTCATAACATATATTACATATTCGAGTTTTCCACGAAAGGCGTAGGTGTTTCTGGTAACATAGATTAAGATCTGCGGAAGAGCGCAAGGTGGAGCCGATCCTACCACAGACCTCATGATAATGGCTCGCTTTCACCCAGATACAATGGCTTTCCTTCGCCTAATTATACAGAACTCACAACTCGGTGCTCGCCAGCTCTCTGTGTACCTGTACAGTCTGCACAGAGTCTGCACAGAGACGGAGAGCAGTCTGCAGAATATCTTCACAGAGTTGGCTTGTAATTTAAAATTAATGTTATGCGCAACCTATAGTCCCAATCGTACCCACTAACCTCGTCTGTATTTATAGACCCACTTTTTGTATATGAATACAGATTTTTAGGATGCATTTGAAACCGATTTATGAGATAGCTAACCCTCTCTAAGTATTCCACATACGTACTCACGTACTCCCCATATACCTGGTCCCCCCCTGCCCGGGATTCCAACAACTTAAAACTTTAAAGACAATGTACTTTAAAAATTACCCTATCGTGTACGATGGTGTTATTTAAGAAAAATAAAGGAACATGGAAATGATACTAAATTCTGGATCAGTCAAGCTTAGGATAGTAATGAGCGAGTATAGATGCAATACTGTACCAGTTTTACACCAAAGTGCTAGGGGAAGATGCCATCCAAAAAAGTGATCAAGCTTAACCTTGTAATGATCAAGCTTAGTTTGACCTTGAATAATGACTAGACTTATCAGTAAACCACCGAGCACTCTTCGCGTACGCTTCAAACACAATTCCTTTATGAACCTTAATTTCAAAGAGAAATATTTGAGATTCAACCTTTAATGTGTGATGAGAGCACTTTCATCTCATCATTGTGAACACAGGAAGAAGAGTTGGAGACAGAGGCGAATATTACGACCCAGAAAGCCGTGCGAATCCACTCTCGCCTTAAATCAAGTTTTATATTGCAGTCGTGGTGAAATAAGCAGTCGCAATGCGTTATTACTCACCCGGTTGTGAGCTTTCCCTTTCATATCCGACCAGAGTTTAATTGGTAGCGGCCACATCGTCCAGACCTTGATGATGGCGATGAGCCGCAGCCGCTGAAGACTAAGCGACCCTCGTAGTGGTACCTCGCTCTCTCACCCGCACTTGACGACCTTCCTCCCTTCCTACTGTCACTATACGGTGACTCACGTACTAGCTGGCAGTCAACAAATTTAGATTAAAGTTGTTATTTATTGATGATATACTAATGTAAATAGTCTAAATACTTGTTGTGAGTGGCTTAATGAGCCAGGTCGCTTTTGAATTATATGTTTCATATTGCTCCTTCAGCCAGCCACCAAATCAGCACGGTGTACTTCTTTCTTGTTTCAATCTGAGAAATCAACGAATGCTTATTCATAGATGCCAAAGCCATTTAAGGGAAGCATCACTCAAGAGTGAATTCGAATGTGCAGCGTCCACAGTCCCAACTATAATCTTTCCCCCATTTCGGTCTATGTACAATGAAACTCAAACCAGCAATTAGGATCTATCGGTAAGAATTCCAAAACTATAAAATCTCCGTAGTAGGTTGATCAAATTCATAAAAATAACCAACGGTTGAGTTGGCAATGGTCATGACGGTTTATCAGTCGAGATTTTTGCGTGGCGAAGGTAATGCTATAAGGGATTCTGGGACGTATAGGCAAGCTCCAAGGCAGTTCTGGGTGCGGGTGCAGCGAGTCATGACACCACGACACGCACGCGTTCTCAACACACTACACTCACCACGCATGGCGCATGCGTGTACCGTGTACATCCTCTCTGGCTTCCTGCGTCCTTCCTCCCTCCTCTCTCCTCTCTCCTTCCTCAGACCCTGCGGCCTGCAGTAGCGCGAGGGACTTATGGAATAGCCCAGTCAGTAAGGGTTTGTATCGGAACTAATTGGTAACAAGCAAAACTATTTACCACTTGTTATTACATACATAGCTAGTACATTTTCCCAAAAGTCACTAGAATCCCCCCTTCCCACCCACATTATTATTTGCGGTAAGTACAATGTTGATAGCATTTGTATGTATTTTCGGTGTTAATAATTCTTATGGGTGCCATATAGCTGATGCCCCTAAAATAGCCATTAAATCTGCTTGTACGAGTTACTGAATGTTAGCTAGTAGCAAAAACAAATAAGTACTCATCTATAACCCTCTCTGAGCTTGTAGTGAATTAATGTCTACTAATGTGTCCGATCGATTCTCATGTTTCATAATGCGTCGGCAGACGAGTTTACAAAACATAATCAATAGCTATTTTCAGTTGTTTTGTCAATCAGTAATAAGCTTTCGCCACTTTCGTACCCCAAAGATAGGTGGCGCAATTTGACGAGGTAAAGCAATATAAATGACTACATAGCTTAACTAAACGGGCTGTATATAAACGCGTGTTTATATTAAAAATCACTAAACAATATAAAATGTAATCTTAATGTTTACCTATAAGCATGGTGTCCACATTAAATTATAGCTAAGTAATCTTAATGGTCAGCTCTTTTGAATTTCTCACAAAGCTATTTTTTTCTAGTGTTTGATCCCCCTAAATATTTATTTTTCAATGTAACAACAAAATACAACAAAAATTGAATACTACAACATAACGAGAGAATTTGGTCCTTAATCAATAAATACATTTTTGCATAATAATTTATACGAATAAATTAAATCCGTCGCTTAAGTTTACGACATATCTACACTTATAAAGTAAACATCTATATTACTGTAAATATATGTAATGGTGATACCACCTTAGTTTCTGTTGTCTGTGGTGATACCTTCGACCGGTCTTGCAGGTCATTATCAGGCCCCATCACAGACTCAATAAATTCTCAAAAGTTTATTAAACTGACAGATGGTAAGATGTTCAAAGCTTAAGAGTCTTAAACTTCAAGCGTTAGGAAACTATGTTCAACGCGCTAAACATATCATCCACGAATTTGCAGACTTGTTTGTTTTATGGTTTAATTTACTTGTAACATGAAGGAGAAAGACATGAGGAAGACAATGGTGCGACCTAGACCGAGGCCAATGTAACTAATGTGGGAACAGAAAACTACCTTGTGTAGAGAAACTCAAGTTGAAGGTGAAACTAGAGTCAAGACATGCACGATTATGTATCTACAAGGATTAGGGAAGTGCAAATTACTTTTGTTATGAAGGTTTAATTCCGACATTCTTCCAACTGCATCAATGCCTAATAGGGTATTCTTAAAGACTTAGGTATAGGCTAATATCCCGTTGACTAAGAAAATGGATGGAGCTTATTATGGAATGCTTCGTTATTCATGGCCAATAGTGAGCTATGCAAAGGGAATAGGCCTAAAGAGGGTAAAATAGAATAAAACTTAAAATAGAGCCAAAACGTCATCAACATCAATAAAGTAACGCATTTATGTATAATTTTAAACCATAACATCCTTGACCGTCTACGTGTAGAATGGGTAGATATAATTGTAATAAAATAAATCAATATACGCATTATGAACCTTTTAAAACCCCTATGATGTAAATTGAAATGACATGAACAAAACAAATAATTTCATTTGCCTGGTACATTTCATTGATTTAGAATACAGAGTAAAGCCTAGAACGCAATATAACATATACCTGATTGAACACTGAATATCTATGCATATTTAAATAGCTTCTTGATTAATAATGCTGATCGTGTTGGTGATGTATATATGACATGTATATACGAATGTCATAAATTCGTCTTCCAACAAGGGTCGAAATTGACCGCCATTGTTATCTAAGTACCTTCTTCCTGTGAATAATTACAGAATAAGTGTAGATAACACTAACTAATAACTAACAACACTAACAACTAAAGAACTAATAATGTTTTAAGCAACAGTCTACCCTTTCAATTTATTAATTTTTTTTTTATAAAGGTAATAATTCCATAGGATTTGGCTACTAATAATTATTTAAACATCAACCCAGCAAACGCACAGGCAGCACTTGCCTAAGTCTGCTGTATTTCATTAAATCTATTTAATTAATTTATACAGAAATGTTCTTTTTTATTCTTAGTCTTAATTTATATTTTGTAAGTATATTTTGTATTAAAAATTTTGTTTTGTCCTCTGTATATATTATGTGTAAATAGACGCATTTCATTCATTCATTCATTTTCGTTCAGATAACGAAAAGTGTTTGGAACACCTAATTTACAATATTCAAATTGTACATGTTTGGCAAATGGGGAAGCTATATTGCGTTGAATGAATTACGAACTGAGCTAGGGCATGCGGGTTTAGGTCATATGATAATTTTTTTTCTTAATAATTTTGGAAACGTGTAAATTGGATATTTAATTGAAGAAGTTGAAAAGGTTTTAAAAAGTCTTCTTCCTCCTGTCGTTGAACAAACGATTGCTCTCTCACTCTTCCTCATACCCTTTCTCTAGCACTTATGTGAGGTGACTCTACACTGCAGCTCTCTCTCAATATTTACCACGCCCCAAGCTTAAAAACATCATGACTTAATCCTTCATGTGTGGCATACTTGATTTATGTCCATCCATTTACAGCTTGTGTTCGTCTAACTCTTATTTTACTTTCTACTGAGCTGTTTATTTGAAATATCAAGCAATTTTTTTCTAGTTTTAGTTATGTTTTACACTTTGGGAGACACCAATTAACTAACAGAAAAACACTTGAAATAATAAACAAATAGAAACGACTTCAAGGTGCGTTAAAGTAGACGCTCAATGTTTACTAAGGTCTTTCAAAAATATGTTTAGTTATTAATATTTCCATTCTGTTTCAGGGAAATGTGGCAGAAAAGAAGACCCAGTATTTTTTGGATATTCATTCTCTAAAAGGCAAGTATAATTAATTGTTATTTATAACATTCATTGTTCGAATACACTCTATAGATTGAGCTGAGGCGTTGCAAGTATATTACACTTTAGCATTTGCTATGCCTTACAGTTTACGTATTTGGGTTACTTTAGATTGTAGATAATACTCACTGGAATAGTATACAATATCACATTAGGAAGAAGGCCTATTTTGTAATGATGTATGGTGTTTCAGGGGGCAAATAGTCTACGACGCGACGTGCCAAAATCAATACTCGGCTTTTATGTATTTTAAGAACCGATCATGTTCACTTTAGTATAAAGTGGACATGGTTTCTTTCATACCAACAAAACCACTTATTCTAGAAGTAAAAAATATGACATATGTGCTAAAAATGCTTTATTTCCATCCATTCCAGTATATCCATTCTGATGATTGTAATATTAAAATGTTTTCTGAAAACAAATGTTTCACTTGAACTTATTTAAACACAATATTGCTAGCCAATATTCATGTTATTGACATAAATGAGCTTTGTGTCCTTAAAATAGATCTTACAACATCTTTAGGCGGACTAGTGTCACGATAACCTCTATAAAAAGTCTGTTAAACCAATCAAACATGGACACGCTCCATACACAAACGAATGATCAGCGAACTAAATCATTCAAATTCAAACTGAGTACTTGGGAATTATATAAGATTTAAGTTTCTTCGTTTTAACCGTGAACTAAGGACATGAGTTTTCAGCTTTGCTGTTTCATCTCAAGGACGTTTAGGCTATAACCTCCCTGTCGATCCGGTAGACGAGACATCGGGCAACAAAAACAATAACAAATCCATTAAGTTGCTTTTGCCTGACGAGTGATGATTTTGGCTGAATCGCCTTTTTAATCCCGCTGTTGGTTTTAGAAAAGGTAAACAAAATTAACTTAAAAATAAGCGTGAACCGGTGTAATTGTGTATTAGTAGAGAAAGAAAGATTGAAGCAATTTGATTGAATACGATTATGATGGATTAAATAAAATAAACACTATAGGTAAACTGTACATTAAATTAGTTACTTTTGTATTAGCGTGATCTATGTTAATCCGTTCACGTGTAAATGATTGTCTAGTAAAACCATAGATTAAATGAGTAGACATTGTCTACTCTGTTAATCTATAGCAAAACTTAGAAAAGGTTCGCAATGTTTAAAAAAAGACTCCCTCATTTTAATGACACCTAAATTACATAATGATAAAAGCCACATTAGTTGACCTATCTATATTACTGCAGTTTCTTAATTAAAATTCAGTAACTCTAAAAATGTATCTTTTGCGATTTGGTCTGACGTGGTCTTCACTCAGGTACAGTTGAGACGCTGCATAAAAAAGTATACATCTTTTAGATCTGTGAAAGCAACCAATGTCACCAGGACAGATCTTAAACTTAAGGAAACTATACTTTACACAGTGTAATCGTAAATTCTGTATATTTTATGTTTCGCAGTTAATATATTTTGAATTAGCGAGACTAGAGGCTCAACTTTGACTACTAATACAACTAGACATTCCATCCCCATGTTAAATTTGTAGCCAGATTTTTTATCAAAATCGTCTTAGTTGATGTGAGCCACCTACAGATTACGCTGATCTAAATTACTACATTCTGTCAAATAACCTAAACTTGTTTACTAAGTAAAACTTAGGGAATGACATATGATGTGTTAGCAAGTGTTATGATCCATTGAACCTGGTCAGCAACAAAAAATAATGTATACACTAGAATTTTAGACACTAGCGCGTTCTGTGTCTAGCTCAGACAACCACGATATTTTTAATAAAAAATTGGCAACAGCTGGTCCATATAGATGGGAAGTCTACTTCAGTATCCAATAGTCAATGATGCATACTGTACAACAACGAATACATTCTGTATTCATATACAAGATGACAAATACACACAAAATGATGACTGATTTCAATTCCATGATTCAATGATTTATTAGGCCACTAAGCAAAGCAATAGGCTAACTCACTTACAATACAAAATAAATAATGGAACGATTAAACCTTTAATTATTCTCAGACCCAACGACTAATGGCAGGAATCCTTTGGCAACTTCATTTGTTAGCCTAGCATACTAACATAAATTAAAGGGCTATATTGGCTAACAGGGGTTTCAGCCTTAAAGTTAAACTTACTTTTTTATTAATATTAATAAAATAATTAATAACAATAAATAATAAATTAAGCCTAATATTTATCAGTCAGATCAACCTTATTTGGGATTTTTCGTTGTAAATTTACATTTTCTTCTTCTTTTTAATCAATCCTTTTTTACATCTCGTAGACGAACGAAGGTTGTCCAATCAGCGGCCAGTTTAAGACGTGTTTGCGACTTAAGATCTTTTCTGCATCTTACTCTTCCAGTAGTTACGTTGTTGTTCTTTTAACACAATTAATATTTTGGCCTCCGTTTCTGCATTTATATAATGGGTTGAAATGTATATCAATAAGGAAGAACTTAAAACAGGGATAGCTTGAATAATGGACTTAGTTTCTAGTAGAGCGTATTTCCCCGAGGTTCCAACACTAGTCCTCGGAGCCTAGACGCTTTAACTCGTAAAACAATTGAAAAACTACAAATAAAATTTCTAAACTCACAGTTTACTAGATTCAAATTACTCTGGTGTTTGAGAAAATATTTTGAGATGATAAATAACTCTTCAGCGCCTGTTTGAAATTAACGAAATTAACATTGCTCTTATGGCGGGCAAAACCAAGATGACCGTTAGCTTCCATGGACCCCCTTGGAGCACAACTCAAAACTTCAAAGAACATTTCTAATCTCACAGTATAGGCCTACTAACATTGCTATTTTCAATTAGCAAATATTCGGAGAAAATCTATCAAAATATGCAAATTTACTTTGACAGTCATTCGTTCACTGTGTAATAAACTATCCAAAAACATAGACACGACAAAGCTTGTTCAAACAATTCTCCTTTTGGAGTACAGAAGTAATGCATTAGTACAGCACCACTCCTCAGCCAAATCAATCTTCATTCTTCCACATTCCAAAGTTTCACTTTTCTAGGCCTCTTAATCTTCCAGCTATTCTTTGTACAATCCACTTTTTTGAATTATTGATGAACCAGTACACTTTACTGTTACGTTACCTGCGACTAGAATTCCTTCTCTCTAATACCAGCTATCATCTCTAGCTTGCTCCTCCATTTACACTTTCACCATTTTGTAATCAACAAACTCAACTACAGGTGGGTTTCTTCGGTAACATTTTGCACTGCAAAAACTACAACGAAGCATTATTATTCTCGTGTTAATTATGTTACAACAATTAAACGGTGTCAACAGCGTGCGTAAAATGCCTACTTAAAATCTACCTGGCAAGAAGGTTGAGCCAAAGGTTTAACTGTAGTTAACATTACCAATCATTTTCAAAACATTCGCTGTTACACATATTGACTTCATTATTTCAGTGTTGTCATTTAACAGTATATTCATCTTAGAGCTATTACCTAATAGCGTATATAAAATATTTTAAACAGTTTTAGTCCAAAAGTATGAGTTTTCTATACTGGGTATGTTCATAAACGAAGGATAACCAATACTACTTCTGGGATCTTTAAGTTAGAAGTGTCTAATATTAACAGTTTTCTATCAGAATGTTCACAAAAATTATTGATATTCATCTTTTAAATGTGTATTTTAAAAGTCTTCAACAAGAAACGTCATTGTACTTAAATTTAAAATTACAAAAGAAAAAACAAATAACAAATTAAAACAAAAGTAAATTAACACCTTGATTAAAACCCAATATGAATAAATTGTGCTCAAGGAGTACTTAGGTGAGCTGATACTAGGAACACATAGAGTTATCAAACAAAAATGGAAAAAACATGAAATGAAGTTGTTGTTAATGTTTACACATACATATATATCCTTAAGTAAGCAATGTACAGGAATTAAGTTATTGACGTGGAAAACGCATTGATGCAAAATTGATACACGCAGCATTTTCTAGCTAGCTATCAATATGTTCAAAGAAGAATATGTATACTCGGAAAATAATGAATATTTAGCTATGAAATAGCAATGTAAACAGAAAGTACAGTTACATTAGTGAAAATTGCTTGTGACATATACTTACTACATCATAAACTATATAACAAATTACTGATCCATAATTAATTCGAATCGATTCTCGGGACTTTTGCTTTAGTCTTGAACCGTACAAATGAAACTGCTCACCATACCTGAAACGGCTCACCATACCTGAAATGGCTCACCTTACCTGAAACTGCTCATCATACCTGAAATGGCTCACCTTACCTGAAACTGCTCATCATACCTGAAATGGCTCACCTTACCTGAAACTGCTCATCATACCTGAAATGGCTCACCTTACCTGAAACTGCTCATCATACCTGAAATGGCTCACCTTACCTGAAACTGCTCATCATACCTGAAATGGCTCACCTTACCTGAAACTGCTCACCATACCTGAAACTGCTCATCATACCTGAAATGGCTCACCATACCTGAAACTGCTCACCATACCTGAAACTGCTCGCCATACCTGAAACTCCTAACTGAAGAAATTATCTGAAGACCTAACCTACAATCACATAAACATTAAACATTTTTTTAACATTGTTGTTGAATTTTTTCACACCCGGGGTTTCAGTATGCCTAGAATGAGACCTTGGCCTTTTTACTTGTTAAACATGTGCAATGTTTGTGAACATATCATCACCAGATTCCTTCATATAAAATGTACTTCACACAGTTTCAATAGCCTTTGTAACTCCTCTATATGTTGGAAGTTGAAGGGTCCTTACTCTGCTGCTTGCAATGGTGATTTAACATCACGATACCTTGACCGGTAAAGCCATTCAAACCTAGTCATGAGATGACACCATGATTATGAGAAGTACAGTGTCCGATTTACCATGGTCGAATACGAGATTCGAGTAATTGTGAAAAATAAACGTTCAGTACCTGAATCTATTTT